ATGGACAGATGAGAAGATGGATGGATAGGTGAATAAATGGATGGATAAAATAAATGGATAGATATATGGATACATTGATGGACAGAATGATGGAAGGATAGATTGAAGGATAGATGGATAGTTAGATGGATGCAGATGGATGGATAGATCTATGGATACATTGATGGAACAATAGATGGATGGATATAGATGGGTAGATGGATAGATTCCAGGATAATTCCAGGTAAAGCAGTAACCAACTGGAATTTAAAGCCGTCCCTGGCTGCAACTAGAACACAAGAGGAATTAAACGATCCACGCCCACAGTCTGAAGCAACTTGTATCTCTTAACCCTGTCCTATGTTAGTTCATTGTTGAACAAAACCTCTTTTTGCTCACCTTCAGTCTAGACTCCCTAGACTCTGTTCTGTACATGCAGAGTACTCTGTACTGCTTGTAGACTCGGACTCTGCCCTTGTGGCAATCCCGACAGGACTGCATAGTCAACTCTGTCCTTAGGAATGTAAAGCTTAGTGCATCTACAGCTGCCAAAGCTACCTCAATAGTGCATCTACCACTGCCAAAGCTACCTTAATAGTGCATTCACCACTGCCAAAGCTACCTCAATAGTGCATCTACAGCTGCCAAAGCTACCTCAATAGTGCATCTACAGCTGCCAAAGCTACCTCAATAGTGCATCTACAGCTGCAAAAGCTACGTCAATAGTGCATTTACAGCTGCCAAAGCTACCCCTCAACCTATTACCAAACTCACAGAGCTTACATTTATGGTTGCCCACATTATGTTTCCTTTGCTTCCCACCCGATCTTAGGATGGCACAATAAATAGACGAGTTTTCACCAGGGACAGTTTATCTAACTTACATTTCCTCAGCGTACAATTAAGGTTACCTCAGCCTCAGTATTTGCACACTGGTCCTACTCTGCTTGGATTCTACTGTTGTTATCATTCACATGCCTACATTAAATTACTACTGTATTTCATACGTCTTTATCAGTCTACATTCGTTATCTTATTTATCTTTTTTTATCTTGTTTATTTATTTAGTTTAAGTGTTTTAGTAATAGTACCCTGTTTACCAAATGTGGTTTATGCTTTGTTTGTTGGCCGTATTTTTTTTTACAAACTAAGCACATATATCTCTCTTTTCCTTGCAATGACATCTCGATAAGCTACCAGCATTAATCATCTTGAATACATGTGTCATAGCAGGAGGAGGAAATTATTTAAACACTTGTGGATTTGTCCAAGATTTAATTTAAAATGAACAAAAATGCAACATAAGTACATGAAACGATGGTAAGGTAGATGGAATATAAGTCATCACTATCACCACTATTCACCATCACAGAGTACATCAATATTGTCTGTATCTCTGCAACCTTGACAATTCCAAATATCATCATAAAAAATGAATTGCTTGCAGAATGTACTGTACTTGACCCCTGATGCTGCCTGCAGTAATGTTACTGTCTGTCTCATATGCAAAGCTCAGTCACCATGACAAGGAATTACTGTGTGGAACTCATCAGAAAGTGCTCATGAAATCACCCACGTCACTGTAGACTTCACTGCTTACCTATCAGTGACTACAAGAGAGTGAAAACCAGTCTTTTATAACTACTGTGCTTATTACATTCTTGACATTCAAATTCTGTGTCGTAATTGCACATCAATTTGTGGAGAGAAGCGGCTTTAACAACTTCTTTTAATGCATTTCACATGCTGACCAGGGATACAGGTTTGAGAAGTTTCTTACATTTTTACAACTTGATTGTATATACAGGTTCCCTCAATATCCAAAAATGGGGGACCTTCGACAAGTCACTGGCTTCCTGTCCTCATCAGGACCACTAGTGTTAGTGGCCCTCAGGTAAATTCAGGTAAATATCAATATCCTCTTGTCCTAACACCTCTCAATTTGTATAGGCTGTCCTTTTCCAAGTAGTGAACAGTACACGTACTTGTCTTCTACTGCAAAGCATATTAATGGAATGTGAAGAAGTTATTTTTGTACTTGTGCTGCTACTGAGCTTGGCCTTCTTCCTTGTGAATGTTGAAACTTCATGCTTCTGCCGAAGATACACGTGGGTCATGCAAGTGGATGTTTTTGTCAGTACTGTAGTTGTGTATGCCTTTCCTTGTTAGGTGTTTACAGTCCAGTTTGTTAAGCCGAGGTACTTTTCTCGGATCTGGCATGCTCCCTGTTTGTGTGATAGTCAGCATGGGCTCCAAAAAAGGGACATAGGCTGGTGTCTCATGTTCCCTTCATTTGGTTTAAGTTCTCGGTAGGGTTATTTTGGCTCCCAGTCTATTTTTATAACTGACTCTGTGGGCAGTGGCAGGTCCTGCCCTTGTGGGGGGGCTGCAGGTCTGTGCTGTCAACCTTTGCCTTGCTGCAGGTCTGTGCTGTTAACCTTTGCCTTGCTGCAGGTCGGTGCTGTCAACCTTTGTCTTGCTGCAGGTCGGTGCTGTCAACCTTTGCCTTGCTGCAGGTCTGTGCTGTCAACCTTTGCCTTTGTAGCAGTGGCTTTAAGGCCCATATTTCTCTTGGTGGCTCTAGTAATTCTTGGGCTCTATGTAGCATGGTGAGTAGCGACTCCCTTGTGTGTCCTTGCCTCCCATTCTAGGTAAGGAAGTCCCCACTACGAAGAGGGTCCTTGTTTTGGATCAGGCTTCAATGTGCTCTCTGCATGCCCCTCCTCCCCTCCCTCAGACAGGATTAAAAATTTTCACCAGATTCATGGGTTTACCCTCTAGTTAGGGGATTCCATGGAACTTCAACTCATACATCTCAATGTTTCAGTGCTGGATGTGTTGCATCATCAGGAAAGTCTCATATTAAGGTCTGCACCAAAAAAGTAAGGGATGCGAGGGGAAATTCAATGATAAATGTTTAGGCAAAAACTCAAACTAATGGAAATGTAAGCTAGGAGATGCTCCTTCCTCGGAAGACATGTGCAGATTAGGTGTGCTGAGTCACCTCAGGTCATGCCTCAAGGTTCCCAAATAGTGTAACTAGGCCTCTGTGTCAGAGAGAGCCCCCCCCCTACCATATTCCCATATTAACATATAAATGGAATTCTGTCATGTTCACATTTATTTTTTAATACCCTGTTGGGTTTTTTTACCTAGAAAAACAATTAGGTAGTATACGAATAAGCAGTCCCCATAGCGTAGTGGTTAAAGCACTCGCCCAGCGCTTCGCGACTTTGACCTGGGTTTGTATTCTGGCCGGGGAGAATTGACAGAGTGGCAATCCTTAACTGTAGCCTCTGATCACCCAGCAGCGAATGGGTACCTGGTTGTTAAATGATTTGGCCAGTCGTATTCCAGGAAAAAAATTAGGATTAACCACTGCACGGCACCGCCCGACTTTACTTGAGGCAGGTGTTGTGCAGGCCGAGAAAATCCAATTTTTAGATATCATAAGATTCAAAACACGTACGCGATAGGTTGGGTACAAAATGGAAGCCTGAGGGCTCCAGTGAACGGCAGTCATTTTGAAAAAAATTCCAGAATGCCCCTGGGCTGTAGGTAGCCTCAGTTCAGCATTGCACCGCCTGACATTAACCCTGCCCCATGGCTGACGCACACGCCTCCAGCTCCCAATCCCCTGTGGGACACGGCATTGAAATATCGCTGTCTGAAGGGAAAATTCGCACATTATTGTTTGAAGAAGAACAGGGTAGTGATATTGATGAACCATTACACAATAAAGACCTGAACACAAGTGTCCAATACCAGTGAGTGATAAAGACATGGATGCAGACAATACAGCGAGCGTGTCCTGTTCAGGGAGAGTGGCTCGCATGGTGGAGCCTCATAGGTCATCGCCCTTGCCAGTATTATCACCACCACCACCTGTGTCATTTCCCATTTTTGACAAAAGTGATACTGTTGATGAATCATTTTCTGGGTTTAGTGACGCTGCTTCTGATACAAGTAGCATAGATGAACGAGTGGTAGCGGCTATCGTCGGTGTGTTACTAGGCGGAGATTTGCTGTCTTAGCAGCACGCCCTGCCAATCGCCACCATATCTTCCCTCATGACGACACTGATAACAGTGTCGCCTCTACATCCACTTTCCCTGCTCGCCCTATTAGTATACAAGGTTGAAGAGCTTCAACTCCTGCCCAACAGAGATTTAGTTCAAGAAAACGGACCCGTAGTGATGGCACCCGTAGGTATGGCAGTCATGGTGCTGATCCAGCCAGTACAAGGAGAACGGGTGAATTTGTGTGGGAGGACTGTGATAATTTTGTACCACACAAACCTAAGTCTGATGATAGTGATGTAGGGGTTGCACCCACTTTCCCGTATACAGGTAACGACATGACTGAAAGTGATTATTTTATTGCTTATTTTGATGAGCCGTTCATGCAACATCTTGCAGATGAAACCAACAGGTATGCAGCACAACTTATTGCAGGTGGCTTATTACCTGCTTCACGTATGGTACATTGGAAGGACACCACCGTGGCTGAGTTGTATGTGTTCTTTGCTCTGTTTATGCTTATGAAACATTCCGTGAAGCACATCATACAGGATTATTGGAACAAGGAATGCGCTGTTCCAACCACAGTGTTCAACAAGTACATGTCACGAGACAGGTTCCTGATACAGAACTGATACAGTACTACTAGGCTATGCGTGCTAGTGGCTTTACAGGAAAGTAAGAACTCTTGTATATATAAAAAATAAACAAAATAAAAATAAAAGTGCTGGCCGCTGCAATACAATGCTACATTGTAATTTGTGGAAAATATGAACTTTTATTTCACCATTATTGATGCGATCAAATGGCCTTCTGTCCCCTGTCAGATAATTTTCTAGCCTTGCAGCATGAAAGTTCTATAGCTTTTGAACAGGACGTCCAGGACTTGTCAAGATCTCCATTGCCAACTGTATCCATGTGGTTACATATTCATCTACTGTACTCTGCTGCACATAATGCTGATGTAGAAAATAAGCTTTTATAGCTTATAATTGTACTTACCGTGTTGCCAAGTCAGGTGTCTGAAAGTAAACTGTTGCACAATTTGCTCGAACACGTCCCACTTTACCACCGCAGTTGGCTGACAGTATATTAAGGCGACGACGGATAGCAGATTCTTCAATCCCATCTGGTAAATTCCGGATGGAAATATCTCGCCGCAAACCAATACCCTAAGAAAAATGAATATTTTTGCTTCTGTTAGTCAACACATTATATTCAAATGTTTCTAAGTGCATCAGTGGTGTTTGAGGCTTCTGTTAAAATAATATGGGAAACTGAAATTTGTAATTTTCATTATTTAACCTTATTCATTAAATATTTGTAGATGCAGCCATTAAAGTTGATACACAGAAAAGTATGCAAACCATAACTGAAATAATCCATTAGTTCACAAGGACACACATGATTCGGATCATATTCTTTCCTGGAACTAATGCATCTAAGGCTTTGTGGACAGTTCTAACAAAGGAAAATAAATGAAGTGCACTATATAGCACTGATGAAAGGTGGAACTGGAAGGCAGATCTGGAGGACCAACATTACTGTGATATTCGTCTGAAGTAGGATTGTGCTCATTGGCAACGTGGTTTCATGCCACCTCCACCATACCATACTCTTGTAAGGTATGATGGAGGAGATGGCTGTTATGACCCAGTGATTCCACCAAATAATAACTATGTATTAATATTTAAATTTTACCATCCAGGTTCATGTTTTCAGCCTGCTGTAATATTATGGTTATTACTCACATAGTGGAACATTGACGTAGTAGTATCTTAGTTTATCACTTAACAAAGTTATATACCCTAGCATACTTGGTTAGTGATTTTGTGTGTTTAAAGTGCTTTACAGGTGTTTTTAATCAGCATTTCTCTTGTTAGAGCAATATCAAGGGCTTGTTTCATGTGATTTTTAGGGGCAATGGATTGAAGATGACAGATGGAGTACCACAGGGTTAAGTTCTTGCACCAGTAATATTCATCGTGTACATAAACGATCTACCAGAAGGAATACAAAATTATATGAACATGTTTGGAGATGATGCTAAGATACTGGGGAAGATAGGAGATGCAGACAATTGTATTGCCCTCCAAATTGATCTAGATAAAATAAGTGCTTGGAGTGTAAAGTGGCAAATGAAATTCAATGTGAATAAATGCCAGGTTATGGAATGTGGAATTGGAGAAAATAGACCACACACAACTTACACATTATGTGGAAAGGAATTACAGAACTCTAATAAAGAATGAGACCTCAGGGTGATTTTGGATAGTAAGCTGTCCCCAGAGGAGTGTATGAGAACATTGTGGGAGGAGCATATGCATCACTTTCCAACTTCAGACTTGCTTTTAATTATATGGATGGTGAAATACTAAAAAACTGTTCATGACTTTTGTGAGACCAAAATTGGAATATGCAGCAGTTGTATGGTGCACAAATCTCAAGCACACAAATAATCTGGAAAAGGTGCAACAGCATGCTACAAAATGGCTTCCAGAACTGAGAAGAAAAGAGTTACAAGGAGAGACTAAAGGTGTTAAATGTGCCAAAACTAATAGAAGAAAAAAAAAGAGATGATATGATCACTACTTACAAAATACTAACAGGAATCGACCAAATTGACAAAGAGGAATTCCTGAAACCAGCAACTTCATGAACCAGAGGACACAAGCTAAGGAAACAAAGGTGCCAAAAATATTAGACGTTTTCTTTTGCAAACAGAGTGGTAGATGGTTAGAACAAGCCAAGTGTTCAAACCGCCTTTGGTGGTGGAGGCCAAACCGATCAGCACAGTAGTTTCAAAGTGTTATATGACAAATAGTACTGGAAAGATGGGACACCACGAGTGTAGCTCTCATCCTGTAACTACATTTAGGTGATTACATACAGATAGATATATATTTCTTACTGACCTTAAGTTTAGATCTCTGAGGTAGTTCCTGGGTGACTTCAGAAAACAAGGCTGTCTCATGTGCACAGAGTTTAAGCGAGTCTTGAGCATGAGCATTATGCACTATTATCACACGAAGATTTTTTCTGTAAGAAGGTTTACAACATGTATAAGGTTTTGTTTTAATACTGTAATACTAAAATTTGAATATAATACAAATGCCTCATACATATTAAAGTACACGTATGTTTATATTACATAAAGTATATGCTTAATTATTTAATATTGCTGAATTTGAACCTCATATTAATAATATAACATTTCTGCATTTCTAAAATACAAAGATATATATACTGCTCTCAAAACAACTTTATTTAATAGGCAAGAACTGTAACCTGCCAAAAATCCAGTATTTAATACATATAATGAAATTTTCTTTTCTGGTAGACCCTATAGTGCTGCAGAACCTAACATACCAAACACTGTCACCCATAAGTCTACAAGACCAGGCTGTTTAGAACTTAAACCAATTATAGGAAAGGCAGGAGGCCGAGCAAACAGAAGCCAAACAGAAGCCAAAAGGACAGTCAACAATCAGAGTAAGAGTAGCTCAGGAGACAGGCTTTAACCAATTACAAATGGGGTAAGAGCAATCAACCCAAAACTTCAAATAGATAAAGTCAGGGTATTTATAACCATCACACCAGCAGCTGCCAGGGACTGCAAACGACTGGACTGCAAAGGTTAGAATTCACAAGGAGGCCACAGTCTTCCAGACTGACACTGTTATTATCATATGTATAGTATATTTTTATGTCAAAAAGAGAGCAACTCAGTAATCCAAAGGCAGAATGATGGTAGTAAAATGAAGGTGTATAAATTTTTAGAAACAAAGAATCACTACCAGGAAAGTTGCATAGTATAACTTTGAATCAGGTGGGAGATTCATCAAGTCACAATTAACTAGAGGAAATAAGGTAAACAACCTCCCGGATGTAACAAACTGACTGCTCTGACCCCTGTGCAAACAAGAGAACATGCCAGTCTGCAAGTCGAAAACCTAACTTCAACAAGAAGACAATGTGGCAATGTGTATGAAACCACAGATAAGAAAGAATCACTAAATGCAACCCATGTGGAATTTGGCAACTATGCAAACAACTAACAACCACACAAGTCAATAACATGGAAAACACACACTAGTATACAACTAACTACATCAACTCATTGATAGGCCCCGCCATGATGACAAAGCCTCTACACACTGCCTGGGGGCGAGGTAACTCAAGAGGATTCAATGGGGAAAACTCCATACTTCTCAGAAAAGACATCTTTGGTGAGGCAAGAAAGATGAAAGCCAACAAACTAGGTAACAGAACCCTGCACTAAAGTCTGGATTAAATAGGCCTGGCAATAGGCCTAGAATGTCCCTAATGTGCTAGAGTTAAATTCTGGGGAGCTACTGAGGAGGCTACCACAGAAATAACTCTTAATGTGAGTTACTAAATTATAAAAGCTTTTTACTTACCTATATCTTAAATCATAAAGTTCTGTAGCAAAGTTAGAGTCCCCTGAGATAAGTACAATTGTAGCACCAGGCCCGTGGATATCAGCAAACCGCCGCATACTCTGGAGAAGTTTATCATCTGCTGCATTTTTTACAGTACTTCCCACATGCATCACATTCACCTGTATAAATGTAATACAATTATATCAATAAGTTTTAACAAGTCTATTTGTTTGAGTCTAGTGTTTACATACACTGCTATGTCTTTCAACTCTACATTTGCTATTGTTTCATTAAAGTTCAGCATATGGTCATCATCATTTGTTGATCACCTGGACTACTAACATCGTTATATACAATGATGTTAACATTGCCATTAGATCTCTACAGTATATATATGTAATGGAGTTGCTATCTTTTGTAATGGTTTACTATATTACGAGGTTATTGTGTATTAAGTCCTGCAGTTATTATCAAATCATGATTTAGTCTTCCCTGCCAGTGTTTGAGCCCATGCCTGGATGACATTCCCAAACAGAATTGTAGCGAAGGAGGTGGGTTGCAAGACACTTCTTTGCAGCTGAGCCAGGAACAGGTTTACATTGTAGACCTATAATACAGTACTTAATCACTGTTTTCATAAATTACGTGTAGATAAATCAATTTATTCTGTACAATGGCTACATCGTGTAAACTGTAATAAATGAAACAAACATAACAAATTCCAAGATGAACATATGAATCCTCACCGCGCACCACTATGTCAACGACTTACATGTGACATCAAATGGCCACATCACCAACCTTCCGGGTTGATATCACAAACTAGAGAAGACATAAATATTGAATAAATCCACAAGGGCCGTGATGAGGGTTTGAACTTATGCCCGGGATGATCCCAGACGCTGCCTTAGTCGACTAGGCCACGACATGGGATATTCCAGGGCATATATCCCATATTGCCTTTCCTTTTGAAGGCAGTGTCTGGGATCATCCCGAGTGTAAGTTTGAATCCTCATCACAGCCCTTGTGGATTTATTCATTTGATGCACCACGTTATTGTGATTTCTGTGTGTGTGACATAAATATTCGTTTCTTTTTGCCTTTTGCTTAGTTTTTGCATGTATGGATCATTCCTGAAGAACAACTTATTTTACTGTGTTATTATTTGTATTTTTATTGATAAAATAATACCCCTATTGTACAGTACAGGTATATAATCATTACAAGGTAGGTACAGATAATAATACCCTTAATACAACCTCTATTACCCCTATTACAACCTCTATTATTTAGCTTGCTATGGCCCCCTTTTCCAGTTTATTTATGTGATTCTTGAGATTTAGGCACCATACAACTGCTGCATATTCCAATTTTGATCTCACGAAAGTCATGAGCAGTTTTTTTAGTATTTCACCATCCATATAATTAAAAGCAAGTCTGAAGTTGGAAAGTGATGCATACACTCCTCCCACAATGTTCTTTGTGTGTTCCACTGGCAACAGCTTACTATCCAAAACGACCCCTAGGCCGTGTTCTTTATTAGAGTTCTGTAATTCCTTTCCACATAATTTGTAAGTTGTGTGTGGTCTATTTTCTCCGATTCCACATACCATAACATGGCATTTATTCACATTGAATTCCATTTGCCCCTTGATGCTTCAAGCACTTATTTTATCTAGATCAATTTGAAGGGCATTACAATCGTCTGCATCTCCTATCTTCCCCAGTATCTTGGCATCATTTGCAAACATGTTCACATAATTCTGTATTCCTTCTGGTAGATCGTTTATGTAGACGACGAACATTATTGGTTCAAGATCTGAACCCTGTGGTACTCTGCTAGTTCGTTTATGTAGATGACGAACATTACTGGTTCAAGATATGAACCTTGTGGTACTCTGCTAGTAACACTCCTCCAGTCAGATACATTGATTACTGCCCTCATCTGTCTGTCAGTTAGGAAATTGTTCAGCCATGTCAAAAGTCTCCCTTTCACCCCTCCAGCAAATTCCAGTTTCCAGAACAGCCTCTTATTTAGAACTCTATCAAAAACCTTTTTTAGGTTCAGATATACAGTAAACCTAACCATCTCTTTCCTATAGTATCTCTGTGGCTCTATCATAAAAACTAAGTAGATTTGTTACACAGGATCTTTCTGTTTGAAAACCATACTGTATGACCGTTATTATGTCATTACTCTCTAGGTGTTCAACATATTTGGCTTAAACTATTTTTTCTAGTGTTTTGACTGCCACACTTGTTAATGATACGGGTCTATAATTTAGAGGTTCCTCTCGACTACCATTTTTATAGATTGGTACTGTGCGTGCCCTTTTTCCATATCTAAGATTCCTGTGCACAAGGATGTCTGGAATGTTAATTGGAGTGGAATGTTCAGCTCAATTGCACATTCTCGCAGCATCCAAAGTGAAACTCCATCAGGTCCAACCGCTTTATTTCTTCGTAGCCCGAGTAATTTTTTCCACTTCGTGTTGAGAAACCTCTAAGTATTCTATGGCGTGCTCTGGAATTGGTATTTGGTCCGGCTCTCTGAAATCCTTATTTTGTACAAACGTGCTTTGGAACTGTTCATTTAGCTTTTCCGCACATTTCTTTTTCATTCTCAGTAGTCCTGTTCTTCATTCTCAATCTCTGGATCTTTTCCTTTACATGCAGCTTGCTTTTAATGTTTAAATACATTTAAACAAATTGGGTTTAAATACATGTGTTTCATGTTTACATTTTTGTGTTTCCATTTACATGTCTGAATTTTCTTTTGATGATCTGCCTACCTACATGTCAGTGTTCGTGTCATATACTTCCATGCTTATGTTCAAGTTATTTTTAAGAATTAATGCACCTAGAATTGATTAGGATTTAAGATTCAGGTATATGCTACATAATGGATACTCATTCTACAAAACAAACTGATGGTTCCAATCCTGGTCCTTCTCTCAAAATGGACTGACAGTCACAGTCCTTTTCAAGAAGGGAATTATGACTGACTTAATCCTTGGTTCTTACATTAAGAATACAGAACCAGTAAGTGAAATATTCAATTGAAATCAAATGTGCAGTTGAAAACACTGGAAATATTATTATTATTATTTCCAGTGATATTAAATTGTAGATAATTTTGATATTATTTTTTTCAAATTTCAGTTAAATTCTAAATAATACAGTATTAATGCAAAATTAATACTGTATAAAGAAATTTGGAAAATATAATAAGTTGAATGCTTCAGTTTTCCTTCAAGAAAGTAATAATTTTAAAATGGCTGCCACTGAGCCCAAAATAATTTAGATTGCCACAGAATGGTAGATGACCTTTTTGGATACCACTGGCAAAGGTGAACAGGACCGAGTTGGAAGTCTCTACGTATGATTGTCAAGGTCCGCTAGGCCAACTACTGACCTTCCTCATGATGAAACCCACAACAGTTGCCTAACTCCCAGGTAACAATTTTACTGCTAGATGAACAGCGGCATCAGGTGAGAGGAAAATGCTTAACTGTTTCAGTCTCACCCAGGATTGAACCCAGATCCCTCGACTGTCGTCCAAGGATATAGAACATCATGCTACAAGACCCATATACTGTACTATACAGTACATTACAGTACTGGCATTCCTCCACATCATCATTTTGTTTCCTCTTTTCAAAGGAAGCGGGAAATTTACCTAATGTGTCACATTTATCAGACACTAGAAAGCTTTGTTTCAGATCATATCAACACTGCTTGCATGATGTTAAGTACAGTACTATATAAATTCTAATATACACAATAGCTCAAAAACACAATAAAACCATAGACTGTGAACATGAAAAAGGAATGAAAGAAGAAAAAATCTACATTAAAAAACTGGATATAATGATGACAAAACAGTATAATGTAGGAAAGACTTGTGTTCTATACATTACACATATTTAAATTTTAACTACAACTACGGTACAAACATAATGCGTAGGTTCATAAGTTCAGTGATATTTGTACAATTTTCTGTATTATTCCTTCATTACAACATAACTGAGATACCTTTGAATGATAAAGAGTGGAGCGTTGTGAGACACGGAGCCATATATGGTCCATGGGTGTAGCACCAAATCGCTCAATTCACCATAACTAACATCATTTTCAGTGCTTGAAGAAAACACATCTTCATCCACATTGAAGCCATCTGTGCTAGAAAATTTGTCATCACTCATTTTCCACAAGAAGATATGCAAAGTCTAAAAAATTATTTAATCACTGTGAATTACTGAAATACATAACTTTTCCTCCTTGACTGCTAGATATTTTGAACTAATGAAACGTAGATGGAAAATACAATTACAATAACAAATAACAATAAGTTACTAGGTCAAGCATGTGTGATATAATAATAAAAAACTATTTTTGATACAGTACTGCAGCCAATATTTTTGTTACATGACAGGATTTATGTCATGCAAGTGAAAAATTTGTTTAGGTTCAATCCACACAGAAGTTCTACTCAATTTGCATAATATTTCCAAAAGACCCACCCATGAATTAAGCTGCTCTGGGCACACTGGTAATTCATTAGGCATGAAAAATGAATATCGCACGCGAAACTACACAGAAAGATAAAAACACTATTAAGTATACTATTTGGTTTTATCACATTATGGTAATTGAGAGAGGGATACCTGACCTCCTACCTCAGTATATATCACACGGCACCATTTACTGCAAAAAATAGGCCTATATTTTGATCTCATGAGGGTGATCGAGAAAGGTATCCCTGGGGTTGCATATCTCAGGATACAAACAGGATATTCTGAGCACTCCTGCAATTGTTCTCATTCCTGTCCTTGTGGTCCCAACTTCCATGAGCTTGCCCGAGTGGCTTTGGCCTTTAGTAATAAGATTTGCCAACTCCCTTGATCATGTTGCAGTAGCTAGCGTAGCGGGGAGCCGGTGGCTGAGCGGACAGAACACTGGATGCGTGATCTTGTGGTCCCGGGTTCGATCCCAGGCGCCGGCGAGAAACAATGGGCAGAGTTTCTTTCACCCTGATGCCCTTGTTACCTAGCAGTAAATAGATACCTGGGAGTTAGTCAGCTGTCATGGGCTGTTTCCTGGGGGTGGAGGCCTGGTCGAGGACCGGGCCGCGGGGACACTAAGCCCCGAAATCATCTAAAGATAATCTCTCAAGATC